CAAAAAAAAAAAAAAAAAAACCTCAGAATCTATAGCTTCAGGGGATGCTCCCAGTTAAATTTGATATACAAATATCAAAATATCCACATTGATATTATACAAAATGAAAACTAAAATTTAAAAAAGAAAAGAAATATGGTATGGCACCTGCGTAGTATAAAATGACTCTCAAGAGTTACTTAGTTGTGGGCTGGGGATTTACCTCAGTGGTTCTGCCGCCTGCCTCCCAAGCACAAGGACCTGAGTTCGATCCCTGGTACCCCCCCAAAAAAAGAGTTATTTAGTTGATCCACATGAAATTGTCATTCTTAAAAGGCAGAGGTTGTCAAATATTAACAATGGCACCTGTTTCAACCTAAAACGTTTTTCCTTTAGTGTAATGCATAGCTTCTGTAATACAAGTAGATCTGAAGAGGGAGACCAGGAAGTGAACGCCAACCTGAGTTTATACCTTAACTTCATGACTAAGAATGACGCTGAAGTCAAATACTGTCATCGTAAGGATGCCTTCACCAATACTGCAAATGCCAAGCTTATTCCCATCTGCTTTGAATGTAGGGTCTTGGCTTTAGCATCGCCGGAGGTCGAGACTGCATCCGAGGCCAGATGGGGATTTTTGTCAAGACCATTTTCCCAAATGGGTCAGCCGCAGAGGACGGAAGACTGAAAGAAGGTAGGAGAACACCTCGTGGTGGTCGTCCATGACACTGAGCTTTGATTCCATGAGAATCTGCCCCTGTATAAAATGGGAAGCAAGTGGCGGAGCAGCTGTGGGCCTGAGAGGCCTCTAGGCCAGGACTGTGCCCCGCATCCCTCCTCATGGTCTTGGAGAGGCGACACACCCCGAGCTTCACTCTCTTTGGCTGTCACCCTGGGACATTACGCCTACCTTGAAGAGCTGTTGTGAGGATTAAATCAGATAATCTGTGCAAAGTGGTGTTATATTTTCCCGGAGGACAGAAACGTTTATCTTGTCTGCTTAGGCCTTGATCATGTGCCTCACATTTGAAAATTCCTGAGCATTTTGCATTCTGTTCTCACCTCTCACCAGGGCTGATGTGGAGGCACAGTACCTGGCCGTTATTAGCCATTTAATATCTTGCTGTTGAAATGAACCACCACGTATTTTAATTCCTAAATGAACATCTTTTTTCATTCTCTGTAGCACCTACCATTTTGCCACACACGAATATGTATACAGTGGCTTTTGAATGCAAATAAAAGAAACACTGAGGTGCCAAGTTATATCTGGCAAACAAAAATTTTTAATGTTTAAGTACATCTTATATTTTATAGTACTGTAAATATTTACAAAGCATTTTCATACGTTTAAATTATTAACTGTGGCACAAACCTGTCAAGTAGGCATTTGGAGTGATCGTTTCACAAATCTGGAAACTGACACTCACAAGTGCTGAGTGACTAGAAGTTTGTGTCACTCCTAATAAGTAGCAACAGTGAAATTCAAACCCAGTGTTCTCATCCCATGGTCCGTTCCTCTCCCCGCCTTACTACTGCTACCTCATTTAAATACAAGATGTTCAGAGACCTGGAAGTCATTTTCCCTTCTTTGGTGTATCGTGATGATTGAGAAAATAAAATTTGAATAGGCCAAAGCTTCTTTTATGTACAGACATAAAGCTGTTTTCAACAGTGAATCTCCTTATGTATATATTTATATATCTGTATACTTATTATGAAATATTTATTTGGATTAAAATTATATATAAAGAAAAGTTACAGATAAGTTCTGAATATATTTTAAATATCATTCATCAAAGCATAACCTCCCCATTTAAACATCTTTTTTTTGTTAATGATTAAGTCAAAATACTGTATTTCCATTTACCTTAAAAATGCTATGGCTGTTCAGTTCACTCAACCCAAACTATAGGAGCTGTTAAATTATACCGATTAACTTTCTTAAACCAACAAAGAATAAATCAGAGTCCCCCTTTTTTAGGCAGAGTAACCACAGATCCTGTGTGCTAACAATATGACGTAGTAAGCTTAATACTTCAGGGCAAAATATTTTCTGTATTACAGGAAGGATTAACCACAGGTGATATTTGTGTCCAGTTTCAGAACAATGTAAAATTCTTGCAGAGCATTTTTATAATGGATGTACCATGTGCTCTCTTGATTAAAATTCATCCTGCAAGGCTGGTAGAATGGAGCAAAATAGAAAAAAAATCAGTAGTTAGGAAAGGTTAATAGCACTTTATTCTCCTACATATTGTTTTTTCGTATGTGTTCATTAATTAGAAACATAAGTCATTGAAATGAATTTTCAACCTGTTGCGTGATATGCCTTTAAAAAAAACCTTGCGTAAATTTTAAGAGTGTGCATGAGTATGGTAATGTTTCTATCCTTTCTGCGTGTGGGCGCAACCCCAAAACATAATGGAGTAATTGGTTATGCCAGCTGATTTTCAAGCAGAGATTATTTCACTTACTTTACAACTTCTGTGGTTGCATTAGAAGGCACCTGATGAGTGCATAGGGGCACCCCTACCTTTCGCTAACTGCTCTACAGGATTCCTCTCATCAAGTACACTGTGTGCTCCTGGGATTGACTGGCTGTGAGAGGTGAAAATGTGTGTTCTTGTGCTGCTTTGCACTTTGTGAGTGTAGGATGTCTCTTTCCCTAACCACACCATTGTGCAAAGTCATCTGTTCTCCCTGGGGCATCTCTGTAGTGTTGGTGATGAGCTGTTATTAAAAAAAAAAAGCCTGTGTCACAAGAGTGCAAACCAGAAATGAGTTTCTTACAAGTCACTGGAATGTTTTAAGTTCTTTTATTTTCCCAGCAGACATTATCAACAGCTTGAAAAGTGAGCTGACTATATCCTCTTGGGGTTGAAGATAACAGGCTAGTTGCAGGGGTGGGCAGTAAGCAAGCATGTGTGCCCATTGGCATTACCCTAAACTGCTTGGCATTGCCCAGCAGTAATTTCTGAGACAGAAGCACAGCAGCCCAATGATGCACAACCTGGCCCTTCATCAGTAAGACCAGACATCAAGACTATTTCAGAGGTAGGGCTTAATAACATCCCAGCAAGTTGGTTTTTTTTCTTTATCATTAAGACTATTTTCTATACACCCTGATGATTCGCCGGGAATCTGGTCTTTCTACAAATGTAGTAGTGGCTTCTCAAATGTCTTATGAGTTTGTGCTTCATTGCCAGTGTTTCTAAGCTTTTAAACTGGCTATGAGGAAAGCCTTTTGCAACTTGATATTTGCAGTTCAGTCTCTACACACAGGATAACTACTATTGCACTTGTCAGTCATTAGAGTAAGATCTTAATGCTTTTCCGAGTTGTTTTAATTGATGATTATGATGTAGAATTATTGCACAATAACATGCATTTTAATAACTTGCCCCATTTTGTGACATTGCTGGCAGCTAGGTTTACGAAAGTGAATTGAAACAATAAAAGTCACTTTATGGAGTAGTAAATCAGGGACCAAGTGGTATCTTATTCTAGTACTAACCAAGCAGTTGGCTTCCAGTAAATTAAAGCTTAATGTTAATGTAATTCTCCTATTTGGTCACCAGGGGATGAAATCCTGGATGTAAATGGAATACCAATAAAGGGCTTGACGTTTCAAGAAGCCATTCATACTTTTAAGGTAACAGCGTTCTTATCGATCTCTTACCCTCTCTTGTTTTTCTTCCTCTGTTTCTTTCTGGTGTGGGTTTAGTGAGATCTTTTTCCCACTTTGTAAGGACACTTAGCCCACTCTGCTCTTTGTTTTCACAGCAAATCCGAAGCGGGCTGTTTGTCTTAACGGTTCGCACAAAGTTACTGAGCCCCAGCCTCACACCCTGCTCGACCCCTACACACATGAGCAGATCCAGCTCTCCAAACTTCAACACCAGTGGGGGGACCTCAGCAGGAGGATCTGACGAAGGCAGCTCCTCCGTGGGACGGAAGACCCCTGGGCCCAAGGACAGAATCGTCATGGAAGTCACACTCAACAAAGGTGATCCGAGCTCTTTGCTCCCTTCTTCCACTGCATTCTCTTGAATAACAATTTGGAATCTGTTCAGAGGTTAATTTTTTCTGAATTTTTTTTAGAATTATTCCTTTGCAACCATCTGCTGTCACCAACAGATGGCATTCTGTAAATGGACGGTGGGATCAACGGTACGGGTTTCAGGCATTTTACAAAAGTGAGGGGAAGTTTGCTGATAGCACAGCGATCTTCAAGCTCTCTCCCTGCCTGTGTCATTGTGCGGCATGGGGTCGTGCTTAACTTCCAGGACTCATACAAAAATTTAAAGACTATAACTATAAAAATACAGTTAATACCAATAACTACAAGTCATGGCTGTTCATCATTTGTTCTTCCTCCCCACCCACTGTGAAAATATGGTCAACAACCAAGAAATTAGTGACTAGAAAGAAAGGTGGAAAAAGCCTAAAAGTTGTACATCTGAAATAAAATCATTCCTTATACTCTACATATTTCCAGAAACACATTTGAGGACTAAGAACTGAGAGTGAATCACTAAATAATTCACAGCCCATGGTGACTCCCTGATTCAGCCGTGGACTCATTTCATTAACAGAATATAGCAGTGTTTTTGTTGTGAGTGGTGGGGGTGGTTGTTTTCTTACTGGGGATTGAACTCAGGACCTTGTGCTTGCCAGGCGGGTGCAACACCACTGAGCTACAGCCCCAGCCCCTGGAATATAGCAATGTTGAGAAAGAAAAGCAGAAATACATTCTGAATCTGGACCAAAACAAAATGAGCTTATCAATGTGAATATAAATATAGCTTCAAATGTACTCTTCTTCTGGTTACCATGTAATTTTTGCTGTTTTCTTCGCATTCTGCCTCACACAGAGCCAAGGGTTGGATTAGGCATTGGTGCCTGCTGCTTGGCTTTGGAAAACTGTCCCCCAGGCATCTACATACACAGCCTGGCACCAGGATCTGTGGCCAAGATGGAGAGCAACCTGAGGTTGGTTGGATCCCTCACATCATGGGGCTCCGGTGCTTTCTCGAATATGTGAACACACACGTACATACCAGCTCTGTTGCATCCCTTATGGAATTCTATATCTTTGAATTATTTGGCAGTAACACAGCCAAATTACAAGCATTACAAGCATTACAAGCATTAATGTTTCCAGAGGCAAAAGCTCATGTAAATAAAATTGGGTTGAATCACAGAACTCTGGATGTTGGCGTCCCTACCTGTTTGGTTTTATTTGGACTCAGAAGTTCAGTTTCATAGTTTTGATGAAGCACGGTGCAAGATATCTGATCACCTCAATATAGTCTTTTATTTTTGTATTCATTTATACAAAATTTACATGAGACAGTGGGACTGTTTGTGTGGTTCACAATCACTGGTTACAGAGGAGTCTGAAACCAGGCCTTGAATCGGCCTTTCTTGCTCAGTATCATCTCTTGCCCTTGTCCATTGCTTTCATACTGTTTGAATGGGGATGTCCAGGTGCCTGTTGTCTGAAATTCCAGAGCATCCGATTTCTCAGTGCAGATAGCTACACCGTGTCATGAGTGTTCCGTTTATAGCAGAGACGTCTAGTAAGTGCAGTGAGTCAGTGCCCACCTAAACTTGACAAGAATGTGCCCACATCATTCATACCAAGCACTGTACAAACAGTATCACCTTTTCCCCGTAAGCATCAAAGTCCTTCAGCAGTTGAAAAATTGTCAAAGTGGCATTTGTTGAGGTTGCCATTTGGGGACTCTGTTTATAGATTGTATTACAGTCCTAGTTAATCATCAGAGTGAATTTCCATATGAAAAAAAAGCTTAGCAAATCATCCAAAAGTACATTAAAGAAAATGTACTTTAGAACCCAAGGAAAAAAAATAACTCTTTTAATGATATCTCAAGATGATGTTTCTTCTTGAATGGTTCCATATGTCTGGAGCCTGCCAAATGGACATTCTTCAGGCCTAGTGTAAAGAGCCTTTGTTCTCTCCTATTGAGTTCTCTCCCTATAATTTCAAGTCAAAATGGGCAACTTGTCCCCAATTTCTCATTTGTTCAAATTTGAAACATTTCTACAAATTCTTGGATGACCTCTGAGCTTTCAGATATTTCCTCTTTAAATTATATTACAATAACCATTTCAAGATGGCAGGAAGAAGGAAGAGACTGACGAGGATCGAGAGGCTGTCACGTGACGATCAAGTCAGACAGACTTGAGTTAGTTCAACAGTGTATGGTATCAGGTGACCTCTCTGAGCCTGTGACCCCAGCTCCATAATGAGGAAATACTTGTTCCTGTTAGAAATGTTATTGTTTAGATTGTTCTGTACAGAGGCCTGGCATATAGTGTGTGCTGAAGAAACAGTAGCCTTCAGCTTTAACTGTTTTATCTTCTAAAAGTGCCAGTTGACATAGATAAAAGACAGCCAGTTCAAAACCCAGCATGTTTATAGATGAGTGTGTTGCTTTTTCACACACTGTCAGGAAAGAATGTCGTTTGCTTCTTTAAATCATCCAGAAAAGGCTTGATAATAAAACCTGCCCCAGGAGAAGGGCTTCCTTAGCTTTTGAAAAAGGCTGACTGTTACAGAATGTTGGTTGTGTCACCCTCCAGCCGCGGAGACCAAATCCTAGAAGTGAACTCTGTCAACGTCCGACATGCTGCTTTAAGCAAAGTGCACTCCATCTTGAGCAAGTGCCCTCCGGGACCTGTCCGCCTGGTCATCGGCCGCCACCCTAACCCCAAGGTGAAGTAGTTCTTCCTGTCCGCTTCAGGAAGAGGGCATGACTATGTGTGTCCAGCATCGGTGTTGCAGTCTGAGGAGGAGACCGGTCACCCAGCAGGGATGGCGTTGTCAGCCGACAGCTGATACATGTGGGGAATAAAATTTTGAACTGAACGTCTTCACCTTCACACCTTAGAAAATGTTGACAGTGTTATTGGTGACTTAATTTTTGTCTAGTGGGCCAGACTCTTAACTCATGCCTCAGCTATTTGGGAGGCTGAAGCAGAAGGATCTCTTGAGCCCAGGAATTTGAGGCCAGTCTGAGCTACACAGCAAGATCCAGAGTCTAAAAGGGTGGGGGCAGGGGGCTTAAAAGAATAAAATTTGTTCTAGTGTAAAGTAGGAATTCAGAATTCTGAGTAACCCCTACTGGATGTCTGCTGGTAAGACACTTGAACTCTTTTGAGTATCTGCCTCAAGAATATGAGTATGTTGGGCCCTGTGATCTATATGTTCTGTTTAAGAAAAAATTTTTAATCACCATCTCTTGTTTGTTCACGTTGGAAATTCTCTCATCTTTAAGTGATTTTCAAAGCAGATTTTGAATTTTAAACTTGATCTAAGTAAGAAATGAGAATATGACAAGATTAAAATAGTATAAGTGCTGAGTTTTTATAATGGTCAGAAAGATGACTACTTTGAATTTAATTTACACTTGTGTAATACACTTAATTCACTTAACCTAGTGTCTATCTTTGCATTTCTATAGTATTTCTACAGTAAGTAGTTTCTCAAGGAAAAGTTGAGTGTGTTCACATTTGACGAGAAAAGTTGCTTTCTTACTGTTTATTTCTGTGTTGGGTCAAAAATATTTATCTTATCAAATTACTATTTCACACTATTTAAGTAAACATAAGAGGAAATCTAGCTTTGCAAACCAGTGACTTATTTGCAAATGTTGCTTTGTAGATTTTGCTGCCATCATAGTTGGGCAAGAAAAATCCCTGGCATTTTAAAATGAACTGCAAAGAAGTTATTAGATTTTTTTTAATATTGTGGAGGATCCCATTTCTTTGGCTGATAGAATCCTCAAGACTAAATTGTTAAATTCACATTAGTATCTTTTCCACTAACTAGTCACACAAATGTTCTCAAATCTACTTACACAGCATGAATACGTATTGAAATTCTCCTGCCCATTCAGCTCACTTTCACATTGTCTGTTACTGGTTTTGCTCATTCTGCTAAAAATAGTCTGAAAACAGGAGTCCTCTTTTGGCTGATCTCATGTGGACGACCTCATAGGAACCCCGTGTGTGATTTGGACCCAACAAGACATACAGATCCCTGTAGCTCAGTCCATGTCCCGCTTGTGAGGATGCTCATGTAGTCTTCTGTTGAACCATTAAGTGGCCTTTTCTTACTTAGAAATTTTGCTCGGCAGGGCAGAGCGAAGATCCTGCAAGGGTGATGTTAGCTCAGCTGTAGGCTCCACCAGTGCATGTGAGCCTGGTAATAAACCACGGAGGGACAGTCCCAGAGGAATTCGGGGGTAAATCAGCACAGGTGCAGGGCTGGGGAGCAGGCACCTGCCAGGCACCAGGGCAGTGCATCTCTCCTGTCCTTCCTTGTCTCCCTCAAGTCAATGTGATTCAGACCATCGGTCTTTGTCCCAGATCAAATTCATTATCCAGGGCTGAGGATTTAGCTCAGTGGTGCCGCCACCTGCCTTGAAAGCACAAGATTCTGAGTTCGATCCCCTGTACCCCCGCAAAAAATTTATTATCCAAACACTTTCCGAGCTTCCCCTAGGTGCTAGGCAGTGTTGCCTAGGGTGCATCTCGACTCGGGAAAGCTCACTGTCTACTCAGAAGAAGACCTTAACTGGAAGTCAGTGGAGGACCCCATCACAGAGACTTCCTGAATTATAAACATTTGGGAATGTGCTTTATTTGCACATGAAGTCAGTAGCTTGCACCTAGCTCCCATCCCCTCGTGATGATGTTACTAGCGTGTGAGGATGCTACTACTGTATGATGGAAGAAGAGACCCAGACCAAAGCGTGGCCCCTCCTCCTGACCTGGCCAGGGCCCTTCTGCGCTTAAGGCTCCAGGACCCACTCACTTTTGACAGCATCATTGTCACGCTGTCGATCCACAATAAACTTCAGGGATAATCATAATCCAAGAGTTGCTGGCCTCAACTATTTGGCCACGTACTCCTATTTGTATAGTTGCTTTCAATTTTTTGGCATTAATCACAGGACACTTCTGTAAGTTCAACTTGAAGGTTTTGTTTGTTTTTTTGTTTTTTGTTTTTTGAGACAGGGTCTCACTATGTAGTTGAGACTGACCTGGAACTCACTGTGTAGCCCAGGGTGGTCTCGAGCTCACAGTGATCCTCCTGCCTCAACCTCCCGAGTGCTGGGATTACAGGCATGTGCCACCACGCCCAGCTCAACTTGAATTTTGACCATTTTTTTGTTACTGTTTTGAGTACTTGATATAAAAACATTTTTTTTTAAAGTACCAGGGATTGAACTCAGGACCTTGCGTTTGCAAGGCAGGCAGAGGCAACACTGAGCTAAATCCCCAGCCCGACATTTTTAAACTAGTTTGTCACTAATATCATGACCAGGTCATATTTAACAAAATTGAGGGCCAGGGATTTAGCTCAGTGGTTCTGCCACCTGCCTCGCAAGCACAAGGTCCCGAGTTTAATCCCCAGTACCAAAAAATATTGAACTTATTTGTTTTAAATGTTATTAAGCACTTCAGCTCCTACCCATGGCCATGCCTGTTGTGTCACTTGCAGTATTATATGAATCGTATCCCGAATGATCTCAGACTGCTGTGCTTATATTCAGTGGACAAGGGACGTAATGGGAGGGGGGTGTTTAAAGTATGTTATAGGCATGTACTGCTCTGTCAGAATGGCTGGGTGAGGGGACGCACGCCTGTAATCCCAGTACTCGGGAGGCTGAGGCAAGTTTGAGGCCAGCCTGGGCTACATAGTGAGATCCTGTGTCAGAAAAAAACAAAAACAAAAACCAAACTTGCCAGAATGAAACCAATATGCACTAATTTTAAGAATGTAGGAATATAGCCAAGCATGATGGCCCACACCTGCAATCCCACCACTCAGGAGGCTGAGGCAAGAGGATCACCACAAAGTTGAGGCCAGCCTGAGCTATGTAGTGAGTTGAAGACCAGCTCAAACTACATAGAAAGACCCTATCTACAAAAAAAAAAAAAGTGAGGGGGGCCGGGGATGTAGCTCGGTGGCACTGTGCCTACCTGGCAAGTGCAAGGTCCTGAGTTCAATCCCCGGTACCACAAAAAACAAATTTTGATCTAAATAAAAATAAGTTTAGATTTAGGATTTGATGTCACCAACATACAATATGTGGAAATACAATAAATTATTGATGTAACTGAAACAAGTCTGTGCCAAGAGCCCTGTGAGTGCCCCATGTGCCACATCAGAGATGTCTCGGTGGCCCCACATTAGGTCTTGATTGAGGTTTATATGTTACACTGGCCCTGCCCGGTACAGATAGGTGTGCAGCAGCTGTAAAGCCGTGCCTTGATCTGGGATTGATGGCAGTAACGGTGTTTGCACACCGTCCTTGGGCTGAATCGAAGGCAGCTGCAGTACTTTTCTCCAAGTTGTTTTATCTATATGTGTTCTCAGAAATGCGTTGCGTTAAAAATATTTTAACAAGTATCATTAATATAAAGCCAAGTCCGGCTATTTTTTTTTTCTATTTACCATTTTTCTCCTTTCCATTCTGTAGTCCTGCAGCTTTCCCCTAAAACCCATTCAACTTTACTAGATGCCTGTCTGTCTGTCTGTTCTGTCTGTCCGTCCGTATTCACACCGTTTTGCCTCCTAGTGACAGCTAGGGCAGTTCTCAGCTCCTTCCTGTGGGGTCTCCACTTGGGTCCTGCTGCTTACTCTCCCTCCCTTCTTCTGCCTCAGGACCAGTGCAGTAAGCTGTGCTGACCTGCACTCCCTCCGTGGCGTGAGAGAAAACTAGGTTTTCAGTGGTCTGCGGTCACGGGCCTCGAGGCGTGTGTGACTTCAAAGACCTTCCCCGCATCACAGGGCTCACGCTTTGCTCAAGTCCACTTTGTCTCTGCCCAGAAGCTCTACCTATTTGCCAATACAGTCAAACATCGGGAAGGCAGGGCAGTGCAGAGCACAGCCCCGATAGACGGCTGGTCTGAGGCCCTGAACACAGCGTGATTCGTGTTTTTAGCCACAACAAAATGGGCTGCTGTAATAGTGCTGGAGATGTTTCCAACAAAACCTAATTTCAGTGTTTGCCTGGATTTCACGTTTCTTCTTAGGTAAACATGGTGTTCTTGGTTGTAACATCATACTATATTTTTCTTCCAGTCAAGATTCCATTTATGTTTAATGTATTTTTATCCCACTTACCCCAGCATTTCATGCCAATCGTTCATTTTGATACTCCGTGTATGTGCTTCCTTAGTTTTTGTGTGGTTCCAAGAGAAATACCGCAAGGGTTTTCTTTTCTTCTGTTTTTCATAATGTCTGCAGTAGTGGCTGCCCAACTGGGACATTCAAACCTTTCAGGTCTAGACAGGCTAAGATTTGGACCTGCTAGGGTAGCAGCTTCTTGCTCATGTTAAGTAGAAGAAAGTAATAGGAGGACTTTTGTTCTCCCACTCAGAAAAACACTTGCAAATATTGAAAGTCTAGTATCAAGGAAAATAGCAACCACTGTTTCAGCTGATATTTTTCCTGGCTCTTTTGTACAAAATTACTCTTTGCTTTGTGGAGGTGTGTCAGTGTGTGTGTGCATATTTTACTTCCTGTGATGCTACATCCTATGAAGGCCAAGATCGAATTATGATTTATCTGTTAGGTTAAAATGTAATACTGAATCCAGAATAGAAATATTTATCATTAAGGCAAATCACTATGCTTATCCAAATATCTATGCTAAGTATTATTTTAGTGCAAAATTACCATTCTAAGTTTAAAACAGCACCATTAAAAAGAAAGTCTAAGTTTTCCAGTTATCTTTGAGATAATATATTCAGTATAGGTCAGGTTTTTAAAAAAATCTTTCCATGAATAATGACAGTTAAGGATAATAGTATGTGGAGTATTATTACTCTATAGGAGAAAAGAATTCATTGAATCTACCAATCAATATAGATACTGGTCAATATAGAAGGAATAAAAAAGTTACCAAATTGCTGTTTTAGAATTTTTATAATATGATTGATTCAGGCAGGAGTGATCAGTGAGGTAAAAACATGAGATGAGAGTGTCTTGTGGTTGCAGCATATTTACGCAGTCCCCAGCTGTCTTCTCACAGATTATTATTAATGACCACGGAAAATCCCAGTGGAAAAACTGGCAAGGCCTATCCTAACCGAGAGATCAAAGTTAGCATCGCCAGTTATGAGACATGTTGACCCTGAGTGCCTCTAGATGCACAGACAAGGAAACCATTTTTTGTAGTTTTTCTTTAAAAAAAAAAAAAAAAAACACACAGACACATGCACATACACACACGCACACACAATCTGATTCTAAGCATTAGAAAACTATCAGATTCTGATTGAGGGTTTGGATGGGTCTGGGTTTCTTCCAAAGTATCGGTATCATGAAAGACAAAGAAGGGCTCAGAACTGTTTGAGTTTAATACAGAGTAAAGACACATGACAGATACATCCTGGATTGCATTCTGGATTACCAAAAGCAATTTTCTATAAAGCATTACTATGCAAAAAAGTTGGTCCAGGACAGTCCGCTGTCCAAAACAACATGAGCTGCGCCTGTGGAACACCATGTAGGTCAGATGACATTTTCGCCCTTGCAAGACTTTGCCTCCTAACTAGCTTTTTGAAGGAAAGTCTTCACCACAGACTGGTCTCGTGTGGATGTTGTGTGAAGCTACCTATAACCCCACTGAACTTCTGTGTTCTGAGTTCCTGCATCAGAGGACAGTTGTAATCTATGATCTTGTCGTTTGTCTCTTTATCTGCACTCAACTTTGACTCTAGTCTTAGCTACTTTTCTGGAAGGGGAAATAAATAAATGCAACCATCTAATTTGTGCTTTCTGCTGAAAATCAGGTTTCCGAACAGGAAATGGATGAAGTGATAGCACGCAGCACTTACCAGGACAGCAAAGAGGCCAATTCCTCTCCTGGCTTAGGTACTGTAATTGCACATTTTCATTCAGCATTCAGTAGAGTTTCTCATTAAGTTCACCCATGGGGCATTCCCGGTGCACTCTTATTGGATTCATTATAATTATCAGGGTTGGTGAAAGGGGCTGTCAGAGAGTCTATACTTTCTCTACGTTGCTACTTTTGATTTCTGCAGTTATTTAGTGTACTTCATTAGAGATCTAATCATGCATGCTTCTTACATCACTTTCAAACAATTTGCAAGAGTGAGCTAAGAGCATTTCATGTATTTATGCACGATTCATCTAAAATGCTATACATAAAAAGTGAAATGATCAGAAATATGAGTGATTTGGTAGATGGAGAGCATTATCCATCCAGAAGCCTGAGACTTCTTTATATGAATTAAAAAGTGTCAACGCAAACAGGGGAATGGAGGCAGCTAAAGTCGTGATTTTCCCGTTAAGTAGAAAAGATTAGACAAGGATTGAGATCAAAGGAGTTTCATATGAATTTTAAATATTACACTGAGTTTTAAATCTTACGCTTCCTGTATCATGGAAACCTAAAAGTCTCTGCTAACTTTTCTGAGCTTGAGATTTTGCTGACGTTCTGACTGATGTCCCAGAAGAAAAGGAGCTGTAATTTGAGTTCCTGATTGTCAGGAAAGGGAAGGCATGGGATTTTTTGGCAACTATGAAACACGTTGATGATTTGCATCCATAATTAATATATTTAAAGTGGACTCAGCCATAATAGGCTCTTTATTCAGCTATTCATTAACCTGCCCTGCCTGAAAGCTGTGTTCTCCTAATCCCAGCATCTCCACTTGATCAGCTAGAAAAGATTGTATTAAGCCATGATCCTCATGCCCTAAATCTCTTTTGCTCATGGCCTAGAAATTAAAGTCTAAATGCTGTACTTTTCATCCTTCCTCTAAAAACTGAAGTAGCTATGCAATGTTTTTCATGGTCTTCTGGGTGGCGTTCCTCTGTCCATCCTACAATCTGTTTGGCAAAACCCTGGGCCATTACTAGACAGCAGGTACAGTGTTAGCCCCATGGGTCAGATTAGTCCACAGCTCTGCTCTAATAATTAAGGAGGCGACATGAGACTGAACCACTCATCATTACAGTCCTGTGAAGATGGAGATTGATGTGTGTGTATATCAAACATTTTGGAAATTCAGAAGATATTACTTCCTTCTGAGGTCTTGAGAGGCAGGGCTCGGAGCATGAGCAGTCTTGGGAGGTGGGATGGGATGGAGTCGGGTACCCAGGTGGATGCCAAGGGCACCTCTACCCTCACACCCAGCTCATCAGTGCCACTCAAGCAAAGGGAGGTTTGGTTTAGTATGCTTGGCTCCTCCCTTTCCAGTTAAGTATGTGAGCCTGCTTGTGATTTTAGCTCATCATTTTGACAATATGGTGAATTTCCCCCCTACAGGTACCCCCTTCAAGAGTCCTTCTCTTGCCAAAAAGGTAAGTCAAATAGGGAAGGGAGGGCAGGGGTATGGGGAAAAAACAAGAACCAAGATATATCATGTAAAGGTAGAAGACCCCAAAGATAAATGTAACTGTATTGTTTGCCTTAAATGTACCAATAAACTTAATGGAGGAAAAAAAAAAGGTAAATCAAGACACCCTGCTCTCTACCTAACTCCGCTCAACCATGTGATCCTGAGCCCATAGGCAAGCGTGAGTGCCCGCCCAGCACATACAAGTGTGCTGCCCAAGAGTCCTTTATACCACTTTACGCCCGAAATAGCAGCCGTGCTAATTTTTTTTCTCTCATTGACTTTACTGGTACATTTTAAGTATGCAGTACAGTTGCATTCATCATTGGGATCTTGTACCTTTACATGACAGCTCTTGGTTCTCATTTTTTCCCCTTGTCCCTGCCCTCCCTTCACCCCCTGCAACCATGCTAATTTGAGAATGCCCAAATGTGTTTCTCTTATTAAATATTCACTCAGAAAGAGAATAGCACAACAGGAAAAAAAGAAAAAGAACTGTGGTTCGAAAAGACTTCTTAAATTATTCCATAATAAAGCAGGCCCACGTTTTTTGCTATCTTTAGTTAAGGAAACTTGGAATTCCTAAACCCTGCTAGGTCGGGGCAGAGGATTCAATGTCCCATTCCTTTGTTTCATCAGTTGACTAGGCCATTTGGCTTGGAAATTTATTCTGTCTTCCTGTGCCTTTCCCCAGTGTTTTCCCTAGGATGGTTGATAAAGGGCAGCTGCCGCTGATAATTGCCAAAACTGTGACCCCACCCCAAACCTCTAAACAAGATCTGGCAGCAGCAGTCACCTTTTTATTCATTAATTGCCCATTTAACCATCCTAAAGTAAAGGGAGATGGGTGTTTACCATCAAAGCTGTTTTGAATGACCATGGGTTAGAACTAAGTGTTCTTGGACAGATGGGAAGTGATTAGTGTTTCAAACTCAGCTTCTGGTACCTCTTCCAAGAAAGTGGAGACATCTGACATTTTCTTCTCCGACAGGACTCCCTTATTTCTGATTCTGAATTCTCCCCGTACTTTGCCCATGATGCCCAGGGCTCCTTGTCAGACTTTATGGTGACCGGCTCCGAGGACGAGGATCACCCCAGCAGTGGCTGCAGCACATCCGAGGACAGCAGCCTGACTCTCAGCACCTCCAGTAAGCGAGAAGCCCCGAGGGTCCTGGGCACCGCCTGCTACAGGGAAGGCAGTTGCTGGTTTCCGCCTCTCTGCTGGAGGCCGCCATAGTTCAGCTTTCCTGGTACTGCAGTAGGAAAAGAGAACTGGAAAGAAACCACAACTCTGGCAGAGTAGATGTTGTGTTTCGACCCCAGCCAAAAGCAGGGTTTACTGTGGGTAGATGCAGCCACTCTGAATGACAAGCCCCTCGAGTTATGCAGTGAACAGGCTGGGTGCCCATTGTGTTCCAAGGTGCGGAGGTGGCAAACCTGCATTGCCGTTAGGTGTGGTTCACAGCTGTGCAGTCTTGGATCTCATGGCATCAAAGCACGGTGGGCAACCTGAGGCCCTCACGTGTTAGAGAATCTCAACCAGATCCAGCTACCTTCCCTCACTGGGCCCTCACTTAATTCCTTTTAGAAGGCAGTAAGTGAAAGATTCAGAATTTATGAGAGATGTTATCATATGGTTTTTATTTTTTGTTCAATTCTCCTGAAGCTAGTTTCCAGGGTTTTTTTTGTTTGTTTGTTTGTTTGGGGGGGTGTTGGTACCGGGGATCGAACTCGGGACCTTGCGCTTTTAAGGCAGGCAGTGGAACCACTGAGCTTAATCCCTGGCCAGTTTTTAATTTGTATTCTCCCTGATTACTCAAGATGAGGTGATGATCTGACGTGAGCCATACGGATTTCTCAGACTTCTGCTGGCAAGGTTTCTGATGTCCGAACAAGAAGGGTGTAGCTCAGTGGTAGAGCACTTGCTTAGCACTCTCCAGGCACTGGGTTCAGTTCATCAGTGCCACATTAAAAAGACAGAGAGAGAGAGAGAGAGAGAGAGAGAGAGAGAGATGGAGAGAAGGGAGGAAGGAAGGGAGGGAAGGGAGAGAAAGTCCCCTGCTCTTAGGAGGGCCGTGGCAGTCCTGACTCCTCTGGGGCTGCTGCTGAGCCCGCTGTGTCCTCTCACAGACACTTTAAGGCATGAGCGTGTGCTTTTTTCGCCAGAGCCAGCAAGTTCTAAAGAGATTGCAGAGCAGCCTGTACGTTCTCCCCTCCTTGGCTGGAGCTGGTAGCTTTAGCTTAGAGAAGTGGAAAGCCCGTGTTCCGAAAACTGATAGGCCTGTTGCTCAAGCCCCCTGCTGCAGATGAAGCAGGGATCTCAGGTGATGAAGGGCTGGCACTGTGGTTCACATCATGGGTCCCATCTATCCAGAGAGGAATTCTCCGCATCAGTGTTTTAGGTTGGACCTGCCAATGTGTGAGACATCATGCAGGTTGGAAACAGCATACCATTTAAATTACCCAGGGGCAGCCAGAGGAAACAGGGAGAAGGACGCTTCCCGTCCACCCTGTAGAGATCCCAAGGCACCATACTACTTAAACGTGGCATCCAGCGGCCGAAAGCTGTGTGTCTGGCATTTGTGAATGTGGAAATACTTGTGTGTAGTGACGGGGCTAAGTGATAAGACCAGGCCAGATGTGCTACTCGGTTTCACCTGACTCGTCTTTCTGTCTCCCCCACCCCCAGCTCACAGGGAGCCAGAAAAAGCCAGGGCCAACAGCCTCGTGGCTCTCGGAAGCCAATGGGCCTCTGGACTCTTCCACAAGCAGGTGACGGTTGCCAGACAAGCCAGTCTCCCTGGAAGCCCACAGGCCCTCAGGAACCCTCTCCTCCGCCAGAGGAAGGTGGGCTGCTATGACGCTAATGATGCCAGTGATGAGGAAGAGTTCGATGGAGAGGGGGCCTGCATTTCACTCCCAGAAGCCCTCACAGGTCCCAGCAGGCCTCTGTCAGAGGATGGCACCAGGCACGTCTCCATGACCTCTCACAAGGCCGGGGGCAGCAACAAGCAAGAGGAACCGCCCCAGAAAACACTGGTCAGCAAGGCCTCCTCCGTGCCACTCCTGGGCAGCTCGCTGGACTTGGAGGGGAGCGTGCCAATAGGTGTGGTGCCTGCTCCTTCCCAGGCAGCTGGCAGAGCCCCCAAGAGTGGCGCTGGTGGCTCAGGAAAAAAGGAACTGTCAGGATCGAGGAGTTCACCCAAACTGGAATACAAAGTCCACGTGGACACCCCAGGTGTGATGAGCACAGAGAACCCCATTACTCCCAAGCAGAAGAGTGAAGACCTGGTGTCCAGGCACAGACCAGTGGCCAAGGTCACCCCTCACTGCAAGAGGCCCACGGCAGAGGGTGGGCTCAGCAGCTCTAAGACAGCGGCCCTGACCAGCAGAACCGATGAACCGTGTTGTCAGGATGTGAATGCGACTCTCCTCAGCGAGACCACCATGGAGAAGGTAAGTGACTTTCCCAGTTACTTTGAATCTGTGTGGACGTGGTGTGAGTGGGTATGGGGTCTGTCGGAAAGCACAGGCCAATCTGCCAGGAGGGTTGGGGATCAGAAATTATCTTTCAGCAGTCACTCATTAAGAGGAGCCTGTTAATCTGCTGGCCGGCGCTTGGTCATAAGATCGTTCGGCTGAAGGTGTAATCACCCTCTGACAGTGGGAAAGCAGTGTGGCATGGGTGAAGTAAAGCCGTAGGCCTGGTGCCAGCTTCTCCACTGCCTAGTTGGCCCCAGTTGAGTGGCCGCTTACGCAGTTACTGAGTCTTTCTGAGCCTAGGTTTGCTGGACCATAAACCAGGTGTAGGTGGCGCTGTCTCCGTGGTCAGCTCTGACGTTGGGTGACACCCAGATGTTCACAGTGATTCTTGCTGGCTGATAAGGTTATGAGTGACCCTTAATTTTCCTGAATTTGTACAGTGATGGTGTGTAATCATAGCTACCCAGACCCTTGTCGCAGCTTGTGAAATAAGGGGGGATGGTCTCACTTAGAAACTTACAATGCGCTGTGTCAAAGGCAAGTTCATTTTGCTGCTGCTTGGTTGCAAGTGTGTTAGAATTACCTAATTGTCCTTTTTAAAATTTCCCACATGCCTCCTCTTTGGCGAGGAGAGGGTAAGAGAAACTCCTGTTGTTTGCAGTCTGCTCAACATAAGTAATCTCTCTCTGTGTCTGAGCAGACTCTGAGATGACACAAGGCCCTGCATGTGATATGTATGTTCGCGTGGTTTATAGAAACACACGTGTACATAGACCCAGAGTGTGAAAAGTTATAAACAGTATAGAAAAGACCTTTTTTTCAGTCTTTTTTTAAAAATAGAAAGGTACATCTTTTTTCTCCCTTCCTCAAAAATCCCATTTTACCTCCACTCAGCAGGTATTTTATAATATAACAGTCAATCAGTGGGTACATTCCTATTTACAAAAAAATTACCTTCCTCAACAAGTCTTGGATAACTACATAGGGCCCCAATCGGGATTTTTATTTATAATAATTTACATCTATTAAAAATGAGAGTAGGGCCGGGGATTTAGCTCAGTGTTGCTATGCTTGCCTGGCAAGTGCAAGGTCCTGAGTTCGATTCCCGGTACCAGGAAAAAAAAAAAAAGAGCTTCTGTAATTTTGATTTTGTATTTTCCATGACAACGTTTGAACAGCACTTCAAACTTTAAAAAAAAGAATTGAATTTTCACATAAAAATCCTACTGCCAAAATTTGATTCTATTTGTGTGTGAAAAAGAAAAAAGAATGCATTACTACAAAGTATCTTCAAATATTAAAAGCTGAAAAGAGGAAAAAAACTTTCTCTTCTGATAAATGGGTTGCGTTCTGTTGTTTTTATATAATACCTTTTATTGTCTTAAAATTAACCATTTTAAAGTACACAGTTGAGTGGCACTGAGTTCATTCACAATGCAGGGCAAACACAGCTTCTATAAAGGTCTCCTCAGCACACTTCAGCTGCTCCTGTATTACATTTATGCCTTAGTAAGTAGAAAATTAACTGAACTAAACCATATGAAGGTTTCTCTCAGCCAGTAAGAGATGATTTCTGAAAGGTTTTTTTTTATACAAGTTGCTGAAAGACATATTACACTTTTCACCTCTCACCTCGCTGCTACCTTTGGGCCACTTTGTAACTCACTAACTCAATGGATAAATTTCAAATAAATCTGATTTAATTTTTTAGCAAGTTTTTTTTTAAGTTTTGCAATGAGTATTAGATGAAAGATGATAAAAGAATTGACACTCGGCCTGAGGGAAATCTTGAAATATTAAATGTCAGTTTCATTTATCCAGAGTCACCCTCTCCCTCACTCCCAAACTAAAGGATTGATTTTATAGTCTTGGATATTTGTGTGCAGTGTTACAACAATAGTAACATCCATCTCGCTAGCCTTTTATGTGCTATTTTTATAGCTATTCTCATTTAATCCTACTTACACTGGGCAGGTCTTCACATGCCCATTTGAGAGCTGGGAAAATGGGCTTGGGGAGGGAGTGACAAGACCATGCCGTTTCCAGAGCCCGACCTTCTGGCTCCTAGTCTAGGGCCATTTCAGCCTTCCCAAGTCGGCTCTCCTCCATAGATGACCGAGTCTTATGATGCAGAAAACCTAGACGCTATTAACAGCGACTTCTGGTTGTCATCGTGCCAGGAACCTTTGGGAAAGCTGGGCCCTGGGGACGGACGTGTCCCCACTGACTGCGGGACACCCAGAGCTCTGTCCCACACGGACACTGGACGCCTCACAGAGAACCCGCCCGAAGCTGCTCCAGAGCAGGGACCAGAACCCGAGACTGGTAAAATCACTTTATCGTTTCAGCTTAAAGAGAGGAAGGCAGGTCTCTGATACAAATGTTAACATGGGATAATTTTGAGGAGGGGAAAAAAACCTCTGATAGAAAATAATGATCTTCCGGTGCTGCCCTCATGTAACAACTTGAGTAGATCATTGTGGCTAAACCCGCAGTTTTGATTTCCTGTTGAGCATCATCCTCTTTGACTCGTCATATGATTTACCCATTGCATGACATGGATGAGACACAGGAGAAAATGGAAAGATTTGTCTTTGGACACTCAGCCCTCTGCTCACATGAAATCAGGGGCACTGAGAAACAGCAGTAACAACCTCAGATGGAAAAGTACACAGCACTGGAAAACCAGGCACAAGGGTCCTTGTTGGTGGAGTGAGTAGCACATGTCACGGAAGCAGAAATCACATCAGTACTGATTCGGCCACACAGCATCTTATTTTTAATGTCAAGCTGCATTAAGTGACTTTGCTGCCTTATTTATGAAGATTGAAAATTAGTGTTCTCAATCTGCACTTCGGCCAGGAATACCTGTTTCAGCAGCTGGTCGTCACCATGCTGGCCAGTGGAGGGCTGGCTGTCCAGCTGCTTGGTGGTCTTGTCGGCAATGCCTGCTTTCTGATTGGTTAGCACACTGGTGGTAGGCAGGGAGCAATGAGGTGGCCCCTGGAAACTTTCTTAGAATCCAGAAGAGAGGGACAGGAAGGGATTGTGTTCTGGATTTGGGAGGAAGATGGTTTTGGTGCTTGGGATCAAATGTGGGGCCCTGCACCCACTGCACTCTAGCATTGAGGTACATCCCAAACTTTTTGTTTTGCGACAAAGTCTCAGTTGTCCTGAACTTGTAATCCTCTTGACTCAGGCTTCTAAGTAGCCTAGGGTCACAGGTATGTGTCACAGCCTGTTACTGTTACATTTAATTCTTTAATGAAAATTTCCTTCTTCTGAGGATTGCTGGGTTGCAGCGGCACACTGGCGCCCTCTAGAGCTGGTGAGGTGTATCTGGTCTTTGACCCAATATGTCAAACATTGCCTGCTCTTAAGATACCATTTGGCCCTTCTGGGAGCCTGTCTGCTAGTCTCAGCCCTTCTCATTGTATCATAAATAGCTGTAGTATAGAAAGTATATTTTTCAACACATACCCTTTTATCTAGGGGAAAGATCTCAAAACATAATTGATCAATGAAGGAATAAACTTATCTTTTCTTTTTTTAAAAAAGAGCCTTTTAGTTTTCCAAAAGTGATGGGGAAGCACCTGGGTACCATACACAGGCTGCCTGGACGCGAATCTGAATGTCCAGATAGGACAGAGAAGTGGCCTAGGGCGAGTCCCTTGTGTTCTAGGTTGCCTGCCTCAGTGGGCTGTTTGGGAGGAACCAGGAGGTCTTTCCTGCCCAGCACTCACAGCGCTAGTGCATCGTATGCATTCAGTAAGTCCTAGTGAACGTGCCAGTGTGATTTCCCTAAGGAAGAACATGCACACGTTCATCTGCCGGCCACGCTGTGTACATTCAGTGTGATATACACGCACACCCCACACACAATTTCCCTAAGAAAGTTCTTAGGAAGGAGTAACGGTGGTGCAGCCCGGTGCTGTGCTGGCTGAGAAGTGCACAGCTGTGAATGACGCCCTCTGGTGGCTCTGAGAACCCAGGAGGCAGCGCAGCCACTTTTGAAAACTGGTCAGAGCCATCGGAGAACACCCCAAAGCAGTGCGGGAGAACAGACCCTGTCTGTCACTAGAATTTTAGATAACTCTTTTATGAAAGGATCCATGTTTACTGTAAATATTCAGCAAACAAAAGCTGTGAGGGAAAATTCTAAAGTTAGTAAAAACCACCTCAGCCCCCGAGAAAACCTCTGTTAATATTTTGGTACGTAGCCTTTTAGTCCTATTATATGGATATGACTGTACATAAAATATATCAAATAAACCAAGCATGGTGGCATACTCCTAGAACACCAGCTACTTGTGAGGCTGAGGCAGGAGGATCGTAAGTTCAAGGCCAGTATGGGCGATTTCATAAGACCTTGTCTTCAAATGAAAGGGGGCTGAGGAATAGCTCAGTGGAAGAATACCGCTGGGTTCCAACTCAGTAGTAGAAAAGAAAAAAATGAAAGCCAATAGTGTTTCTTAAAAAGAGAAACAGACCACTGACAGACGGCAGACACTACAGTGGTCCCTGGGACCTAATGAGGGTTTGCCTCATGCGCCTACTCGCTCACCTTCTGCTCCCGCACCACTGTGAGCCCAGGCTGGTAGACCCCTCCCTTCCTCATGGACACGTTCCTGTTATCAGGCATTTAGGATTTCCACACGAAGCCTTCATTCTTAATTTTGCTAACACATTTGCAGTACATAATGATTACAAAAGGTACACGGACCTCACACATCTCGATTCCTCTTTTTTCCCCGTCCCCCCTAACCTATATTTTTGGCCAGCATCAGATTCATTTATTTATAAGTCCTTATAAAGTTAATTATTATACATACGGATTGACAGCCAGCGGAAAAGTCCAAAAAAAAATGTAAGACAATTACATGCAATCAGGGTACACTTTTATATACATTGTCCACACTGGGTTACAATAACTTTTTTCTTTTCTCTTTTTTTTTTTCCTATTGTAGATGGGGGAGGTGCTCATATAAGAGAAACCGTACAGTGTTTAAGCTTGTGTACCTGATTTACTTCACTTAACATTATGGTCTCAAGGCACTTGCATTTTCCTACAAATGACTCAAGGTTATCCTGCATTATGGCAGAGTAGTAGTGCTCCACTGTGTGTAAATATCACATTTTAATCCACTCATCTGTTGATGGATACATAGGCTGTTTCTAAGAGTGAGATATTATGAATTGTGCTGCTGTAAGGATGGATACAATACATCACTGTGGTACAATATTTTTAACTCTTTTGGGAAGATCACCTACAAGGAGAATGGCTGGGCTAGTGGAATTTCTAGTTTTAATCTTTTAAGGAATCTCCACCCTGATTTCCATAGTGGATGAACCAGTTTACCGTCCCACCAGGATTGAAGAAGAGTTCCTTTTTTCACCACCACCACCAACCCCCACAGCCTCACTTGTTATTAGCTGTTTTCTCAATGACAGCTATTCCGGAGTAAGATGGGATCTCAGTGTTGTTTTAATTTGCATTTCTCCAATGGCTAGAGATGCTGAGCATTTTTTCATGTATTTCTTGACCATTTCTACCTCTTAACGCACTATTTTGAAAGGTAACATAAAGGCTGCTTTCATTTAATTTCATCTCCCTCCAACAAAACCCTCTGAAGATACACATTTTGCAATAATTCAAATAGCTGACAAAAATTGCCTGTTAAGATGTATTCAGCAAGTAGACTGGAAACTGAAAAATAGCTGCTAAATCCCTTCCTTTTGTCTGTTGCCACTTGCTTTCCGGTGTTTAGGCTCAGCAGAAGCAAGGAAGTAACACCTAGGAGTTCAGAGAGGATGCAGAGGAGGTGAATACCAGGGTATGGCAGGTGCTCCTGACCTCCGCTGTGGGCCAGGAAGCTCCTTGCCCTCCCTAGGTGCCTTGCTGATCTCTCCTCATTACTGTTAAATGTGCTCAACCGGATGGCCAGAGAGCTAGGGTTTAGTCAGAGCATGGGCTGTGGATCCAGCTTCCTGGGGTGACTCCCGGCTCAGCCATCTATGAACTGTGACCTTGGACGTGCTGCTGACGCACTTGGGCTCCTGCCCTCATCCTCACAACACAGACGGTCATGGGACCTGCCTCCCAGGGCCGGGAGGGAAAACTCAGCAGTGCCGATCATTCGTGACTGCACAGCTATTACACAGTGCTGTCTTAATGTCAGCTGGTAATTTTTCTCAGAGGAGCTTCAGGAGGAAAACATGGGTGATTCTAAGACCACTTATGTGAGATATGTGGGATGAAGACTTTTCAGGCGACTGAGCTTGGCAGGTGCTGTGTAGCAGAAGTAGACGGATTCACCCAGGAGTATGTTGGGCCTGAGGAGGCACCTCCAGGACAGAGTGGCTCTGAGCCCATCCCGTGATTTTTAGCATCCCCTTCCCTGCGCCCCCTGAGCTTCTGTGCTATCTCTCCGCTTTCATTGTCTTCCACTCCTTCCTCATCACTGTGACCAAACTCTACACATATACACACACATACGCACACACACACGCACTCAGGTCCTCATGACCCTGGGAGGCTTCCTGGAATAGCCTGGCCTTGTAGCTCTGCTCCTCCGAGCCTCGTCCAGACAGAGCCCAGCTCCGTGTAGACGTACATGCCACCTGCAGCGCTGGTTGTCCCTGGTCAGCCTCCCACTCAGGGAATGGTTGAGTGGAAACCTCTAGAGTCCATGCCAAAACCAAGGAATCACACAGCAGCCTCCCTCTTCCTGTGGTGGCTTCTGCCGCTGGAGAGCAGATCGTGTAAAGAAACCCAAGATGCACAAGAGTTTCTGGGAGCCCCCGATCCTTAAAGACCACTGAGAGAAACGGGCAGGCTCCCACACTCATCCTGCCAGCCAGTCTGAGTTATTGCAGGGCGATTAAAGGAGGGTGGTGTTTGTTAAATGTGAGCGCTGTGTAATTTGAGAGACAAAAACAGAAAGCCAAGAAATCCCAGATGTAGGCTGTGGAATGTCTTCTGACAGAGAAAAGTACTGGGGTTGTTTACAACTTTTAGACATCAAGAGGCTCCTGTTTTCCCTCCTACCATTCCACCTTTTGTGTATTCTCCACACAGGACTGGACAGCTCCCCGGCCCTCCTCCCATGCCCAGGAAAGAAGGGAGCTGCTCATCCTCAGGCCGGCCAGGTCTCCACAGACACAGGGCCTGTCAGCTGGTCCGAGAGTCCCAGCCAGACCGCCGCATCCAGGCTCTGTGAGCCCAAGCCCCAGGGTGGCTCTGCAGTGAGGCTGGCCTGCGAGTGCCACACGGCCCCGGTGGGGATCACTGTGGCTCCTCCTGACCTCAGCGAGACTCGGGCTGCACCAGGAGCCCACTCACCTTGTGACACCATGAAAGTGGCTGCCCACAGGAGTGTGGGACTAGGGGCTGAGGGAGCCACTCCAGCCAGCACTGTCCCGCCACGAGACGCCCTCACTTCCCACGAGGGTAGTCGAGGAGCTCCAAGTGACCACAGGGAGCAGGCCTCTGAAATGACCGCAGTCTGTACACCTCACGGCTCCCCACAGGCTGCCCTGCTCCAGGACCCAGATTTCCTACCTGTGAGCCCCTCCTTGCCAGTGTCCCCTGACGGGACCAAAGATACATGTGACGGTGTCTCGGGGCACTGCTGCCCATCTGAGAGCAGAGGGGCCCCCGTGACAGACATTGACAGCTTCATTGAGGAGTCAGAGGCTTCTGCAGCCAGGTCCCAGTCTTCTCAGAAGGGGGACTGCAGAGGTCACGAGGCGAGTTCTCAGAGTATCCACCACACCCCGCCAGTCACGGGTGAGCAGACGCCCTCCGCGAGGAAGGCCCCACAGTGTGCCTCCCAGCCTTCAGTTTTGGATTCCATTCATCCTGACAAACATTTTACTGTGAACAAAAACTTTCTGAGCAGCTACTCTAGAAATTTTAGCAGTTTTCATGATGACAGGATGTCCTTGTCAGGCCCGGGAGACAGCACAGAGCCATCTCTCTCATCCATGTATGGTGATGCTGAGGACTCGTCTTCTGACCCTGAATCACTCACAGAGGCTGCACAAGCTTCAACCAGAGGCAGCTGGTCCCCTCCTCATCCACATGGGTCTTCTCACAAGGAAGACACTGCAGAGTCTGAGGAAGAACAAATCGAAATATGTTCCACAGATGGCTGCCCCAGTCTACCCTCAACAAATACCCATCGTCCCATCCAGGCTATGCCCTGCCCTGCTTCAGCCAAAGTTCTGCCATTACAGCACAGTGCCCGGAGTGAGTCTGTGGACAGCGCCTGTGGGAAAGCCTCCTTCTTGCCAGGAGCTTCATGCCCTTCCCTCCCAGACTCTACCCAGCCACTCTCACTCCTGGATATGAGCTCTCAGGAGCAAAAAACTCCTTCAGACATAAGCATTGTACAGATCCATGGGTCCTTGTGTGCAGAAGAAACTGTGGGAGTCACCAGTGCCAGCTCAGCCATGGACAATGCCCAGCCTTCTAAGGCCACCAGGCACTGTCACAACCCACTAGACACACTCAGCTCCCCCCACATGATGAATGGTTTGGGACATAACCCGCTGGATGACAAAACCCCAAATGAACAAGAAATAAACACTACTGCAACGGAAAGCGTGTACTTCAGTACAGATGTCCCTAAGAATGGAGAGTTGGTTCTGGAAAATCTATGCATCTCTGAAAGCCAAGACTTGGAGGGCTTGTTACAGAAACCAAAAGCGATCTCCAGGAGGCCCATCATGGCCTGGTTCAAAGAAATAAGTAAGAATAACCACAGTACCCAAGTGCAGAGCAAAACTGAGAAAGAACCCTCCACACTACCAGCCAAGAGTCCCGACTCCAAAATCCAGGTATTGAGCTCAAGCCACAAAAAGGGGTTTGCTGTGCCTAGTAGCCCTCCTGCGCTCAAAGTCAGTCTTGAAAATAAGCATTCATCTAAAAAAGGCTCAGTGGAATCACTTTTGAGTAACGGTCAGAAAGCCAAGTGTGGCCCTAAGCTAAAGAGACTCAGCATCAAAAGCAAAAGCAAAGGTGGCTCGGAGGTCCCTGCTTCAAACTCTGCTACGGCCGGTGGGACAGATCACAGGAAATCCTTAGTTTCACCCCAGACCTCACACAAAACACTTCCGAAGGGAGCATCACACCGCTTCCACATAGCTGACTGTGAGGAACCTGACGAAAACACCACGGATGCCCCCAAGTCTCCCCAGGGCAGGCTGGAGACCATGCCCATACCGGCTGCCTCTGGCTCAGTGAAGTCCTCGGCCTCAGACACGAGCATCCCAACATTCACTTCGCCTCTGACCTCCCCCAAGACTCTTCCTGAGCAAGGCACATACAGTAGGTTCCACGCGGCTGTCCACTCTGCAGCCAGCAGAGGCTGTCCAGCTACCCCCCGATCTCCTGGGGCTGGCAGTGCTGACTCCGGGCCTGTGAGTCCCACAGCATCCGGGCACAGTGCGTCCTCGGCAGGTACCAGACAGGGAGAGCAGCATGCGACCAGCCGAATGGACTTGGTATCAGAAGTGGTTCGACCTGGGGCGGCCAGTGAAAAAGGAAGCAAAAGCCTTGTTAGTGATCCCCTAGAGAGAACAAACCAGCTGAAAATAGTTGAGATTGCTTCTGAAAGGATGCCAGAGAATGCATGTGGTGACAAGCCAGCTGAAAGTGACAGACTGGGAGGGTTCTCGGCCCGGAGCACCTGTCAGGAGAAAAGTGAAATCAGATGCCACCAGTCAGTGGAACAGTCCCCAGATTATCCACCCTCTGCCTCTCCAGTAGAGCAGGAAACGCGGCGATCATTCTGTGTAACCAAATTGGCTTCTTCCTCCTCCCCTCAGCTGCCTGCTAAAAAAGCAGCTTCCTCCCAGGGAGGATGGAGCCAGATAGCAGTGGGCCCTGCTGGGGAGGACCCTCCCTACTTCACACCACGGCCGGCCACCAGGACCTACTCCATGCCAGCCCAGTTCCCCAGCCATTTTGGGCGGGAGAATCATACCCCGCCCAGCCCGGGTCACTCTCCTCGGGACAGCCAGGTCCCTGCGAAGAGTAGTGGTCACCCATTGGAGGCAAAGGCTTCCAAAGGTGGCATCCTGGGCCTGCCCCATGGACAGGGCATGTACAGTGTAAAGCCACTGCTGGAAACATCAAGGAACCTCCACACAACAGACAAAGGGGACGTCGTCTCAGTCTCAGACAAGGTCAAAGTCACCAGGAAGCATTACTATTACGAGCAGAACTGGCCCCTCGAATCTACCTCATTCTTTTCTGTGAAGCAGAGGATCAAGTCCTTTGAGAACCTGGCCAATTCTGACCGGCCCGCAGCTAAGGCCGGGGTGTCCCCATTTTTGTCTGTGAGCACCAAGCCTCCCGTTGGCAGACGGTCTTCCGGCAGCATCATTTCCGGGAGCCTCTGCAACGCCAGTGACGCAGCAGCGAGGTCACTGAGGCGCAGCTTGAGTTCCTGCACTGAAAGCCAAAGTGAAGCCAGTACCCTTCTCCCGCCAATGAGCAAGTCCCCATCCAGCACGATGTTGACTGTCTCCCGGCAGAATCCAGCAGAGACCAGCAGCAAGGGACCCAATTCAAACCAAAAGAAACCACCAATGACTTTGGAAATTCCCACCCCAACAGTGACGCCACCCTCTCCCGCCAGGAAGAACAAGTCCTTGGTGCGCCACACACAGCTCTCGCCCGTGTCCCGCTCCAAGCTGCAGGAACTGAGGGCGCTGAGCATGCCCGATCTGGACAAGCTCTGCGGGGGCGACGATGATTACTCTGCGGGGCCCAGCGCCATGATCTTCAAAACCCAGCTGGAGATCGTCCCCAGGAGGTCACAGGGCGGCTCCCCCGCGGGAGGCCTTCAGGCCAGTGAAGGGGGCCGACCGCTCCAGGACCTGCCTCCCGGGAAAAGCTGGTCAATTAAGTAAGTATCTCCCCTTCCTTTTACTTAAACACGTTTGCTTTATTTTGGAATAGTTTCAGGTGAATAAAAAAGCTGCAAAGGTAATACAAGGAGCTCTACGCGCCTGGCTCTTCCTGAAGTGAACGTCTTACCGAGCCATGGTCCGTTAGTCAAAAGTAAGATTAACATTGAACAGTCCCATGAACTAAACCACAGGCTCCATTCTGACTTCACTGAGTAAATTCCACCAATGTCCCTTTTCTACTTCAGGATCTAATCCAGCCTGCTCCATTGCATTTAGTCCCCCCATGTTCAGTGTCATTGCCGGAAACACCGAAGTGCCGAGGAGGAGCAGAGGTGGCCAAAATGGCTCACAGGAGCGCGTCCTACAGGATGTGGCACTGAAGCCAAAACCGTGGGGACAGATGGGAGGGAAGGGAAGGGAAGGCTGCATCCGAGAGAGTTTGGGCTTTTGAAAGTGTCTAGAGCCAAGCGGGAGATTTTTCACACCACTGTCAGTGTTCTCTTGAGCTTCTGTGTTGCAGACTGGCTCCGTTAAACTCCTGCGTCAGCCCCTGACATCTCAGGCCCTCCCCATCACGTCCCATTCCAAGTGCTGACAAAGGACTTCCCTGGGCTCCCTTCCGGGCCCTTCACTTAGCTTGGAGTTGGGGTTAAGACTGAAAGAAAGCACGAAATTAGAACATACCTTCAATCTAACAGGCAATCACATCAAACCCATCCTTAGAAAAAGGAGAAATTGCTTTTGTCTTTAATATTCTTCAAACGTGTGTGTTGTTTAGTTTGGATCAACTTCTCATCTCAGCGGGGGACCAGCAGAGATTACAGTCCATTTTAGAATCAGTGGGATCCAAATCCACCATCCTAATACTCCTTCAGGAAGCAAAAGCACAATCAGAGGTGAGTGAAATGCTGAAAACTTGGCATGATAACATCCCAGCAGTGCCCGGTGCACAGCACCCACCCAGCCGGCCAAGGCATCCTTCGGTTCCTGGGCACCAGCTACCATCAGAAGCTAGAGTCTGACTTGGGTGATTAGGTGTCAGACTGGTACTGATACTGTTTTAAAATTCCTCAGAAGCACCTAGTCACCAGCCTTACCACATCTGGAGCTTGTCTGCTGTGGGGGTCCTCTAGGCAGACCTAGGAAATGGTGGTGAAAACCCACAAGTGCCTCAGTCCACCTGTGGACATAAACTAGTGAATGGCGCCACCTGCTGGTGAATGAAGTTACAGAAGTGTAGCCATGCTTACGTAGGAGTTTCTGAACAGAAACAACTACAGAACAAAGAACACAGAACAGAACAAAGAAGGTAGTCATTACGAAATGGGTTGTGGGGGGTGTTTGTTTGTTTGAGACAGGGTCTCACTATGTAGTTCAGACTGCCCTGGAACTATGTAGCCCAAGCTGGTCTCGAACTCACAGTGATCTTCCTGCCTCAGCCTCCCAAGTGCTGGGATTACAGGCGTGCGCCACCACGCCCAGCAGTAATTACAAAACGTTTTTAAAACTATTTTTTATGAAATAAAGCAATTTCATAAAACAGTAAGAGTAACAAGATTTTTTTAATGAATCAGGTATGACAGTAAACAATAACAAAAGAATATACAGGTTCCTATCTAGAAAGATTCTCAGGACTCTTCATAGAAATTTAAACCCTAGTCTGGTGTGGCAGTGCATGTTTATAATCCCAGCATTCTGGGAGGCTGAGGCAGGAGGATCACAAATTTGAGCCCCGCCTGATCAACTCAGCCACTTAGCAAAAACGCTGTCTCAAAAAATAAAAGGGGCTGGGGCTGTAGCTCAGTGCAAAGGCCCTGGGTTCAGCCCCCAGCGAAAATAGGGAAGAAAGAGGAATTTGAGCCCTAAAAGGTAAATATTTAGAAAGAAAAATCAAAAGTGAATGTTTTTTTAAAGAAACACATTGGTGATATGCTCAGGTTAGTAATGTCATTCACAAGTACTATTTCAGAAATTCAGAGGCTACTTAGAGGGAAGTATTTGAGGTTTCTCAGCCAGGAGCAGCCATGGCATGTAACAAGCTGGCCAGGAAGGTGAGGGAAAAGGGTGGGAAGACTCTCTACCTCCTTCTCCCTTCTCACTCTCAGCCCACTGATCTGGGTCTGAGCCATTCAGAAACACCTGAGACGCCAAGCATCTCTTGCTGTTCGTCAAAGGCACCAGCCACCTCCTCCGTCTCCTTCAGCTCATGGCTACCGTGAGGTGGTCCATGTGAGGTGGCATCCCTGGGGTTTCACTGTGGCGCAGCTGGGCTCTAAACTTTTTAGTGTCAGACAAAAGTCTCAACCAATCTCATACACAAGATGCCCATTTTCAGGAAGCAGAAACAGGGCTCGTGTGTGTGGCCAGGATAAACCAAGTGCTGCCCTCTCACCTGGGGCCTCCTTCATCCTGGTTTACAATTCAGCCCCCAGACAAGTATTGGGGTTTGCTGTAGAACGTCATTCCTGCCTTAGACTGCAGCTCTTCCTTGTTTTCTTATTGTCTGCTGTTGATTTCAGAGACGTAGTAAGCATGTATGTCCTTACTCTGCCATCTTCATAACAGTGGTTTTCTCCCTTGCTTTTTCTCAGTGAGGATGGTTTGTAAGGGCTATAATTAGAATTGCACAAAACTGTCTCCTGTTGCCTTCTGGCAACGCTGTGAGAAATTAGAGGCCAGGAAAGAGTCCTGGCTTGTCTTAAGCACATCATGCGTTGGAGAATGCTTGATGGTTCATCTGGCTTCCTGGATGTGATGCCAAGCTTCTCCGGCAAAATTTGGCCTGAAAGTCTGCTGCTGGTACACTTGTTTCCTCGAGCACCATTTTAAAAAATTTTAAAGATGTACCAGCACTGTGGGAGGCAGAGGCAGGAGGATCATGATATCAAGGCTGACCTAGGCTACATAGCAAGTTCAAGGCCAGCTTGAAACAGATCAAGACCCTGTCTCAAAAAGTAAATGAATAATATTTTCGTGGCAACATATCCTGAAATGCAGGAAAATTCCGTTTGCATAGATTCCATCTCTGATCAAATAGGTATTTAAAGATCTAAGTATCCAAATGTCTGCAGCAGACATTACCTCCCAGAAACTGCACAAAGATCATTTCCTGCACCACGTGTTTTTGTTTAGGAAGATTGGTGACCTCCCCTCTGTCCACTGAGCGGCACCTGAGCATATACATGGTTGAAGGTGCCCCCGAAGTTACCCAGCCCCCCCAAAAGTTCCATGGGACTTTCTCCTGTCAGCACATGGACCCATGTGAATGAACTTCTTTAGAGAGGTGTAAAATGCCAGAAAATGAGTCCTCGTGACTCACCGAAAGGGCCAAACCCTTCTGCTGGGTTCCTTCCCCTGAACGTCAGAGCAGCTTTCCTGTCCCATCGTTCACTGTCTCGCACCAAGGAGTCTCAGGGTTACCGGTGGATTCTTCTGTCACCGTGTTTGGGAGTACTGTGGACTAGGGACTGACTGTCAGTCACTTCATGTGAAGCCAAGCAATGCAGAATTTGAAAATGCTGAGTCACAGATTTCTAGGGTGGGTGAGAGAAGTTAAAATTCAGAATTCACCCACCTAATTTTATTTTAAAGTCTTTTATTCCACGGTGTCTTTTGATTGATGCTTCCAACAAGGCAGTCTTCTGTTACTTAACCCTAGGACACTACTAAAAATATCCTAGTCCCAATGTAGGTTGGCAGTTAATTTTGAATCCTTTATATTTTTAACATACTGTGACTTTATGATGGAGAGTTCATTAATTGCACCTGAAACCCCATAACCTGAACATAAGAAGTGGGCATTTAAGGCAGATGGTTGCAGTGTGCTTTTACCCTGCCTCCTGGCACTAACCTTTTTGCAGTTGATGAAATGGGTTTTGCTAAATTGTAGACTTAAGAGTTACAGGATGAAGAATTTCATTGGCAGTTAAACTGCGTGCTCCGATCATATCTAGGAAGACAACATGGTGCCTCGAATGGTTTCAAGAGGTGGGAATCCTATCCTGGCTGTTCATCTTCCCCAGGGCTCATGGCTCCAGGCAGACCCTCAAACCTGCCATTCATGCACCACCCAGAGGGGTGCAGATGACTGGGGGTGGGGCAGCACTGGCATTTCTGGGAGAGCTGGGCAGTCACTGGAAGGATTTAGGTCAGAGCTTCTTGCTCTTTTTGTTTTAGTTTGGTTTTGAAGACAAGGTCTCGCTGTTAGTTCAGGTTGCCTCAAATTCACAGCAGTCTTCCTGCCTCAGCCTCCCCGGTGCTGACGACACAGGCATGTGCCACCAGACCCTGCTTAGAACTTCTCACTCTTGGCTTAAGGAATATACAGTAATTTTTTCCTGTTTCTCCTTTCCAGAATAAAGAAGATATTTGCTTCATAGTGTTGAACAAAAAAGAAGGCTCAGGTCTGGGATTCAGTGTGATAGGAGGGACAGATGGAGACCTGAAATCAGTCATGGTAAGTGACAGTGTCATTAGGCTTTCAGGAAATCACTCCTTAAGCACCTGCAGGATTTGACTGGGACATGAATTCCAATCAGGTCAAGCACATAATACTTGCAATGACAAAAAATGAGTATTCTGGGAGTATTAAGTTTTGAGGATCTTAAGAGGTTGGGGTTTGGTTGGTTGGAGGTTGTTTTAGTACTGAGGATTAAATCCAGGATGACTCTACCACTGAGCTACAGCCCCAGTTCTTGTTTCTGAGACAGAGTCTTACTACATCGTGCAGGGTGGCCCAGAACCCAATATGTACTTCCATCAGACCTCAGAGTCACTGATCCTGATGTGCACCACCATGCCCACCCCCTAGCCTTTTTATTTATTTATGTTTTGAGACAGGGTCTCAGTCAGTTGTCTAGGCTGGCCTCGAACTTGTGATCCTCCACAGCAGCTGGGATTACAGGCACGTGCCACCACAACTAGCAAGATGAGCATTTTTAACACATGGCTGACATGACACAGGCCAAATGCCAATACTTACAGACACACTATCTGTATCCTTATAATCTGGCTATAGAGAATCAACTGACCGAACTTGCATTTACATATAAAATTACATCTTTCTGAAGAACATAATCTTTTATCACCCCAAGTCCCTGGAATTGCTTAGAAGGCCTTCACCAGATAAGAGCAGGCTTTGTTCATCTTTGTCTTGCTGATGCCCAGTACAAGCCAGGCACTTGTTAGAAGCTGACAAGAATTTGAGTGAAAATAGGTGAGATGCTTGGTGTTATCTGTGACCTCCCAGCCCACACTGGCTACATGTCATTGATAAACTGTACAATCTAGGAAACTTGTATTGAGACAGTTTCTTTACTACAGACTGCAGTGGCTCTTGCTGGTGACCACAAATGGACTTAGCTCTCTTTCTCTGTCTCAGATCCACAGGGTGTTTGCTCAGGGGATGGCTTCTCAGGAAGGGACCATGAGCCGAGGGGACTTCCTTCTTTCTGTCAATGGTGCCTCCCTGGCCGGCTTGGCCCACGGAGATGTCCTGAAGGCTCTGCATCAGGCACAGCTGCACAAGCAGGTCCTCGTGGTCATCAAGAAAGGGAGTGACCGGCCCAGGCCCTCTGTCAGGCAGGAGCCTCCCACGGCCAACGGAAAGGGTTCCCTCACCAGAAAGACCAGCTCATTGGCACCTGGAACTGGTAAGAGCAGTTTAACAACTAGCAGGATATGAGCAGCTGATAGATCCTCGATGAATACAAAAGAAAAGAATGGTTAATTCTTGGGGCAGAAAAATTAAATGTAGTGACGTCTAGTGTTTTGCAAGATCAGTACTAAAAGCCATACTAACTATTGAGGATCTTAAATGATTGCTTGGCAACTTCTCTAAATCTCCTAAGAAGAAAGCCCTTTCGTATTTACATCTGCTTGTAAGGACTTAAGTGGCTGGTACGTAAAAGAAGGAAATCTTGTCACAGGGAGATCAATCTTGATGGAAAAATTCCAGAATGAGCAGTGTCCCTGGAAAACATCAAGTTTGGCTCTCCTGTTTTAGAAGAATTTAGGAAATGAGGGAGCAGATATCTTACTGTGTTTGAAAACAAGAACTGCAGCCTTCATCATCCAAGAGGAGCCTGCTAGACAGGGCTCAGAGAGTTTTCTCTGTGCCTCCACAATGTGCTGCTCAATGCCTCAATACCAGAGGCTCGTTTCTGATGCACTGGCTGATCACAGCCTTCCAATCAGCACCTCAGCCTTCCATGGGGGCCCTCTACCTCCGCATCAGGCTTGGCGGCACTCTCTAGTCCAGGAGGCAGAGTCCACAGAGGTTCAGGTTATCCACGACCTTCTAGGGTGGGCTTTTTGTTCCTTCTCAGTGCCTCTCTTGATGATGTCAAGGGTAGCTAATGCCTGAACTCTACAGGGCTTCACTGTGGCCTGAGCTATTTGTGCAAGCTCCACTGAACGAACTCCGCTGAGACACATGCCTCTGCAGCAGCACAGGGACACTTTCTGTCCTCCAGAAAGCAGAGCCTTCCTGATAGTGGGGCTCCTTGGTCATCAGACCCATTCATGCTCACCTTTGGCCCATCTGACTCAGCTGCTCGGTGCATTTTCACTGGCGTCCTGGGCATTTGGTTGATCCAGGGAAACACGTGGCACTGCATCCTGAGCTTCCACAGCACGTGAGACTTGGAAGCTCAGATATAGACTTCCCTACTATCATTTACAATCACGAGGCACTCCTGTCGCACCCTTGGGGTCTGGCCTTGATCCAGACCAAGTTGTAAGCCCCTGAAAGCTTAAGTTTATTCCTATTCTCTGTGGTCCCCCTACTGTGGGCCCAGCTCATCCTATGCAATTGTATTCCTTACCATACACACAGAATATCTGACTTTGACATAGCAGACACCTAGAAAGCTTTGCAGGGGCCGAATCTCACTAAGTAGTCCAGGCTGGACTTGGACTGTGTAGCCTAGACCAGCCTCAAATTCATGACGATCCTCCTGCCTCAGCCTCTGAAATGCTGGGATTACAGTAGAAAGCTTTCTTAAAACCCTGATGTCCAAGAAGTTTCCTTGCTAAATTAAACTAGAAATACTGAGGGGTCCAACAGTAATACCTCTGTAATATTCCCAGATGATTCCAGGAGGCAGCCACTCTAACAGACCTTTTTCTGTTCAATAGCAAGTAAAGTCACATATTTAAAAAGCATGCTGAAGTGCCGGGGATGTGGCTCAGTGGCACTGCACCTGCCTGGCACACACAAGCTCCTGCGTTCGATCCCTAGGGGTGGGGGGAAGAGCATGTTATTCCCAGTATTAGTATTCACTTTCTTTACACCACAATAATGGACTGATCTTTATGTTCAAAGGTGATGATGGTAGCTTGGCCTCAACTCTAACGAATATGTTAAGTGTGCAGTTTGATACTTTTATGAGCCTCCCCCTGCCTCCCAGGCAGCTAAGAGCACCTTTCCATACAACTCTAACATGTTTGGCTTGTACAAAACTAAGTCAGAGAAATTAAAAGGCAAATTTACAGTCCCTGTGCAGACGCCAGCCTCGCCTCTCTAAACTAGCACACAGTGGATGCAAGTTGGTTGCTGTGGAGCAAGCATCACTATGGAAACACTTCCCCCCACAGTGGAGCCTGAAGCCAATAAAGACAGTCAGTGTGTGAGGAAGAAAAGTTGTATCCAGAGGCAGGGCAACCCCTCTGAGAGCAGAAAGGGTATGGGGCAAGGAAGGAAGTTCTGCCTGGTCTGGTGCTTCGCAGGTAATTAGGACAGTCTCACATGACACTGGCCACTTTGGTGCTGCTCATTTCAGTACCAGATGGTGACCCTCTATTGCCGTGGTAGCCAGGCGTGGCAGGAAGTCAATTTGTTCCCTCAGTGTGACTTCCATCCTCCCTGAGATGTGGACCACCAGAATGTAGAGCTTGACAAGGGTCATTTGTCTTCGGGAATTTCTGTTTGGGCACCAAAGATTTTCCACACCTGTAGAAAATACACAGAAGGTACAGCTGCAGCAGGAACACGGGTGGGCGGGCAGGCGGCTCTATACCCGAGACATGCTGGCCTCCAAGGTGGGTGTAAGCATTTCACACTAGACAGGACTTGAGGGTGCCAGGAGACCCTGGTGCCGGGGGAGGTAGGTAGTGCGTAGGTGGCATATGAACAAGCCTCTCATGTTTACCTCGATGAATGTCGCTGCTACAGGGAGAAGTGGAGCTACTCACGAGGCTCTGTGCGTTGAAGTGCTGAAGACCTCGGCTGGACTGGGACTGAGTCTGGATGGAGGCAGATCGTCTGTGGCTGGAGATGGACCCCTGGTCGTTAAAAGGGTATACAGAGGTAATGTCCGAGGCAGCTGTCGGCCTCCTCCTGCCTTTCTTTCCACATCTTAATGAAAAATCAGTGCCTTCCATTTGGAAATCAAACTTGTTTTTTAAAATCTGGTAAGTTGTTAGTGCTTTATGACGTAGAAGGTTTAATCGTATCTACCTGTTTTACACATATTAAAACTCACATTGTCCACGTAAACACCCTGTCAGGTAGGAATGACATCAGACGTGCCAATCGGGAACACTTAGTCCCAGTCAAGGTTTCACTAACCTAAAATACTAGAATGCAAGAAAGTAAGATGGCAGAAGGCTGACAGCAAGACCCCATCTCGAAAAATAAGTCAGATGGGAGGTAGGTAGGTATTACTGGAAGGGCTAGTAAATATGAAGTCTCTTCCTGAGCTTGAATAATTCATTTTAAGATCTTAAGACAATTTTCAAAAATCCTTGGTTCCCGGGTGTATTAATAATTACACCAACAGCTGGGCGTGGTGGTGCACGCCTGTAATCCCAGCACTCGGGAGGCTGAGGCAGAAGGGTTGCTGTGAGTTCAAGACCAGCCTGGTCAATAGTGAGTTCCAGGTCAGTCTCAACTCCACAGTGAGACCTCTCTCAAAAAACCAAAAAAAAAAAAA